GTTTAAAAGCTGGAGATACAGCTCAGTAGTTCAGTGGTAGAGCGCTTACCTAGCATGCATGAGGTCATGGATTCACATTCCCAAGGAAGACAGGAAGGTAGGAAGGAATTTCACTACTTTTCTTGACATTATAATGTTTACATACGTAATTTATCAAATCATAAATTTATATCAGTTATATAAGTTTATGTAAATTATAAACCATGTACACATCTAACTTCCCCTGGTATGTGCAAAATTTGAAAATGTGTCAATAGAAGGAAGTAGATTTTCACTATAAGTTATGCAAAGCAGCTAGGAATCATCTACACAAAAATATATATAGCAACTATATATCAGACAGCTGGAACATCCATGACAGAGGATTCCTAATAGTTATATACTTGTATATTAACAATTACTAGTTAAATTTTCCTTCTAGAAACTGCGCTGAAAGTTGGCTTCAAAATAAGTCAATTTTTAAGAATAAAAGTTTGCATTTAAGGCTATCATCACTATATTCACTTATTATATTAAGTACATTATCATTTTGTGTATTACATTATTTATTCCTAAAAAATGGAAAGTCACAATTCTAGGAAGTAAAAATCTTACTTACCTCTTTTACATTTGCATCATCAAAAAATACCCACTTGGAACTCTTGGTGTGAAAAGCAAAGGCACAGTAATGTCTACTGCTGTAGCAGATCATTCCAACAAGGTGGAGTTCACTATTTCTGGCATTTTCATCGGTAACCCTATAAAAAAGCTGTTTAAAAAATAACAATGTACATTTAATATTATATCTTACAAAACAAAGGATAATCTGATCAAGCATGTATTTTACTTAAGAAAAAAACTTTTACATGCATACTACACTAATCTTATACAGTCTTGGTATTAATGACACCATGACTAAGGTACCACTGACACTGCAGCGTTGACAGAACTACTACTTTTAATTAGCCTACAGAAGCTTTAAGTCTCATAAAATGAATTCACTTCAAATTAGTAACAGAGCATTTCCAGTAACACATGACTGATACATATACTCAAAGTATGTGATAAATTACATATTCTTGATAATTCTTGATTCACACAATTGGACATCCATAAAAAAGAATCTAAATTATCATTATCTCAAGATTGAATTGTAACCTGTACCAAATATATTAAGAAATAAAAAAAATATAAATAAGGTCAATGCTCTAGGTGAATTTTAAATCATAAAACCTTTTCTAGATTAGTATTTATCATATAAACATAGTTTTATTATCATCCCTCCAGATGGAAGGATTGTAGGACAGTTTAATTTGAAGCAAAAGTCACTGCTTTAAAGCATTCCAGTTAACTTGATTTGATTAAACTTATCTGTATCGGTATATGTGAATATTACTATTTCTTTTAAAAAAATTAGATTCTGAAAAGCAAACTTAAATGTACCATGATGTATAAAGATGTTTTAAGGAATTTAAAAGGAAAAAGAATGGAAAATTACGCTACCCCAGGAAGATACAGGTATGTCCCAAGATTCCGAATAACATCTTCGGTTAAGTCAGAATGCTCAGAATCCCAGACTAAACCAATTGTAACAATCTCCGGGCAATTCATTAAAACACGGCGAATTTTTATTTTTTGGCCACAGTTACTCTACAGAAAAACAGAAAAGGCAAACATTGAAAAATCAAAACAGATATAACACAGACAAAAGTTACAGTTTATGTTGTATAATGATAGTCTTCACATATCTGAAGTCTTTCTGTTTGTTAAAATTTACTTCTAACTAGATTGTCATTTTTAAAAAGATATTTGTCTTAATTATTGAGTAAGCAAGAAGTTATTTTAGTTCCGCCAAAAAAAGGTTATTTTAGAGTATTCTTTGATATTTTTGAAGATGTGTTACTCATCCAAGAAAAAAAGAAAGCCCCTAAAGTCATTAACACTAGAAAAGAATATATCATGTTGATTCAAAGAAAAAAAACTTAGTTAAGTGATACACTTTAGAACTTCAAATCATCAGCTAACATTTGTTAATTTAGTTCCTTCATCAACCTAAGAGATTTTAAAGCAATATTGCTAAGATAAATAGCTCACAAGGCATAAAACTATTTAAAATAATTTTAAATAATAGGGGCCGGGGAGATGGCTCAGTGGAATAAGCGCTTCCCTGGTAAGCGCAAGGGCCTGAGTTCGATCCCCAGTTCCACCAAAAAAAAAAAAAAAAAAAGTTCAATAATAAGCTATTTAAATGAACTTTATATAAATATTTACATGACAATTTTTGAATATCTAGTCTCAAATATGCAAATGCAGAAACATACTACTATTCTTCAAATTATACTTACGGGGCACTTCCTATAATCATCTACCGTATTAGCTGCTTGGAGCAATTCCGCAAACATTTCAGGCTTCAGGCGTTCATGCCTTTCAATCGTTCTCTCAACTTCACTGCTACAAAAGACAGAAGCCGTCTCAAATCCAGTCTTTGAACTTAAAACAGCTCTAATAAGTTACATATGATAGATATGAAGCTGTCAATATAGATGAGAATTATTTCTGTCTAAAGTATGACTTGGCCCCAAAAAACTGCATAAAATTTCCAAAAGGTGAAAAATGTTAAGTTTGGCAGCTACATGACAAAAAATTAGGACAAGTATAGAATCAAACATCATGAAATTTCACCCTTTTCTCTGGGACTCCAGGAAGGAAGCCACGTGCATTACCTGGCAGCAACTATAAGCCAATGCTTCCTCTATTATTTGACTTAGTAAGTATAGACTTTCACTTCAGCTCTGTCCTAATAAGAACAACAAAATTATAGAAAAGGTTCGGTCTCTGGCTCAAAGTATCAAGAAGCAAAGTTATTAATCTCACCTCGGACATATGGCCCTATGTTGACTAAACGCAGAAGAAATAGCCAAACTTCAGCCAAATATATGCCTTTGCTCCTAGTATGGGTTCTAGTTATTTTATTAGAGACTGCATGGTTTTAATACATTATGGGCAAAGGGTATCACTATTTAGTCACCCTCCCATATTTTCACACAGCAAGTTTTTAATACAGTGCCTTTAAGCACCTATTTAAATATCTTAAAAAGGGAAAGTCAAAGGTGAAACATTCTTACTACTTTCCATTCTAAATATTCTGATTCTGTTCAACAGTAACGTAACTTTCTTGGATAGTTTATAGTTCAATGGCTTAAATAACTTATAAGTACTCGACAGCTACAATTAGATCCTTCTAAAGCTCTTTGTAAGCATACTGCAAAGGAATAAATCTGATAAACTCATCGAAACTATGTATCGTGGTTTCATAAAACTAACAGTTTCAGAGTAGTAGCTACCTCGACAAATTCTGAAGCCAGATAAATCTCAATTTTAATTGTAATCCATCCACTTAACAGATTAATGTCATTAAACCCATTTCTTCTTCAATAAAAGAGAATTTTTCTTAAGATTTAAACCAACAGTTTACCTATATCCAGAATATAGTAAGCATTCAATAACTGATATTCAATACTGATTACCAGTAAAAGTTAAAATTCCATAATTTTTAGTTTATGGTCTGTCCTTGTTGAAATACCATCCCCTTCTGCACAACTGACTATTGACAGGAGCTGAGAGAGAATGTTTTAATTTACTTATTTTTTTGTATTTACCACACGGTCTACAAGGTCTCACTATGAAGATCAGACTTGTAGTGACCTGCCTATTCTCAGCCTCCCAAGAGGTGGAATTACAGGCATGTGCCACCACACCCATTCTGAGAGAATATTTTTATAAATCAATATTTCCCAATGTTGCTTGTATTTGTAAAATATGAAACACACTCAAGTAACCATACATTAAGAAATAGTGTTATATGCAAGAAACCCAAAATTTAAATAATACAAAATGGATGAACACATGATATTCACTTTGTACAGACAGAAACATTAATAGCATGTCACCTAACTTGTGCATGGACACACTCTGGTGGATAATTATCAATCCATGTTATTGTATCTTTTGTATAAAAATCTCAGGTTAACATCTACAATCTTCATTTTTTATCACCTATCTACTCTCTACACCCTCAAGTACCAGGAAAGTGTTGGAAAGCATTCAATCTCTACTACATAATATCCAGGATCATTTCTGGATTTTTAATGGCCTAACGTTTCACACAGAACTGATAAAGGGAAGGGGCAAGCAGGAAGGCATGACAAAATTTAACTTAAGATGAGTGTTGAGGCCTCAAATGCTTCATGCAGGTGAGGATTATGTTCAGTTTCTTTTTTTCTGCTTACCCCAGCTTTTATCATCATGAAAGGACATAGAGGAGCAGACAGGAAGCAGAGCTACTACAAACGGACCACTTAACAAACACAAAGAAATCATTTCGCAGTTCAGTTTAACACTCTCATTTTAATCCCCCTGCAGAGTGCAAAAACCTATAATAATCATGTACATTTCACTAAATTATTCATTTATAGGTTGAATATCCTTGATCTGAAAAAAAATCAGAAATCTGAAAGGAAATTTCTTGAAAGCCAACATAATGCCACAAGTAGAAAATCACAAACCTGAACTTACTGTGACAGGCTGCATTCAAAATGCAGCAAACGAAACACATTGTCTAACACTACCTTTAGACTATAAACATAAGATACACTTGTATAAGAGACCTAAATGAATTCCATAGCTAGAACCTGATCCCATCCCACGCTATCTCAGTTGTATAAGTATAAATATTCCAAAATCTGAAAGCTGAAATAATTCAAGGCCTAAGCACTCCGGATAAGGGATACTCAACCTATATTAAGGCTCAATCACAGTATCCAACTGAGAGAAAAATCTCTTACTATCTCTTATGGTATCGAGGGGTGATAATTCGTATAGGTTATAGTTTTACAGAAAAATGTTCAATGTACTTAAATGTGTTGTTAACAGCTTTGTTAAATAGCTTTCATGGTTCCTTACCATAAGGCTGTTGTAGAAATGTACCGCACAAATTCTGTAAAAGGTAGTGGATCTGATGATGCTCCACAGCTACGACACATACACTACAGGTAAAAACATATGTTTAATCTATCAATCACAAAACATAAATACAATAGCTAATACAACAAGCGAGCCGTGTCACCTGCTCATACAGCGTCATGGCGAACTTCTGGTGCGTGATGCACGACTTGGAGGTGCACATGTCGGCGTCTCTGCTGGGCACTATGTGAAAGTGAATCCTTTCCAATATGTTTTCCTAATTTACAAACAAAATAGAGAGATGAGTTGCTAATGCTGCAAACAACACCTCACGGTACAGCTCTTTCCAGCTGAACATTTCCAAAGCAGAACAGCAAGAGCGGCATGGATGCGGTTCACCTTTCAGCGTTCTTGCTTAATCCGCAATTCAAGTGTTATTCCGCTGTTCACCTTGCGCAGTGTAGCTAAAAATAAATGTCTAGTGCAACATCACAGCACATTCTTTTTAACAAAAATTTTAAAGATTCTTTAAAAATTCAACTCGTAGTGAATGACTTAGAATTTAATATTAGAAAACGAAGTTTTCTATGTCCCTAAAATTCTCATGTTTAGAAAAAGCAGGTAACTTTCCTGGATTTTCAGACATTTTACGAATTATCATTAGCACATTCACATTAAGTGAAACCACAGAGCAAATATATTGTGCAAAATATATCTTTTTTTTTTTTTTTTTTTTTTCTGAGACATGGTCTCGCTATGTAGTTCAGGTTGGCCTTGAGCTGAGTTTGAGACAAGCCTGGTTTCAAACTCAGATTCCTCCTGTCTCAGCCTCCCAAGTACTGGGATTATAGGCATGCACCACCACTCCCGGCTTAAATATACCTATTTTATGTAGTGGATCAATTTTAAGTAGAAAAATATGAGAAGTGTGTTTCATTAGGTGTGCGCTATCACTGGCACATTTTAATCATGCAGAAGTATACCTGGCCTCGAATCAGTCACGGAGTTTTCTACTGAAGCCAGGAAACCATAAAGAAGCTTATTAAGAGCAAGATAAAAGCATATTTACGTCAAATGAATTCAACAAATAGTAAATTCTACATAAATTCAGGAAACTGATTAAAGTAGTCTCATACCTGACCTGACAAGTTTAATTTTAGACAAACTTATAGGATAAAATAGTTCTAGGTATCTAGAAACTTGTACAAAGACTGTTTAACAGAAATACACCAAGTGGGGGACGGGGAGACAGCTCAGCTGTCTAAGCACCTGTCGGGCAAGCGCAAGGACCTGGGTTTGATCCCCAGTACCACATGCTGTGCCGGCCGGGGAGGGGGGGGCCCTGGGCCCACCAAGCTAGCCACCAAAACCAGGTGTGGTGGCACACACCTCTAATCCCGGCACTGAGGAGGCTGACACAGGAGGACCACTATGAGTCTGAGCTGTGTAGTGAGACTCTGTACCAAACATATAAATTTTAAAAAAAGAAAAAAGGGGCCGGGGAAATGGCTCAGTAGAATAAGTGCTTCCCTGGCAAGCACAAGGGCCTGAGTTCAATCCCCAGTTCCACCAAAAAAAAAAAAAAAAAAGAAAGAAAGAAAGAAAGAAAGAAAGGAAAAGAAAAGAAAAGAAAAATAACATGTGGGCTGGGGAGACAGCTCAGCAGTCTAAGCACCTGCCTGGCAAGTACTAGGACCCGGGTTCAATCCTTGATACCACATGCCATGCCAGCGCCAGGCACTGAGCCAGCCACAGAAACCGAGTGTGGTGGTGCACGCCTGTAATCCCAGCACTGGGGAGGATATTAAGAGTCGAAGCTGCACAGCAAGTCCCTATACCAAATAAATAAATAAATATTTTAAAAGAAGTACAATGTGGAGAACCAGAATGGGACTATCTAAGAAAATTCAGAGAGAAAGCTAAGAGAGAATTTTGAGACTAACTGAAGGAGGCCTTAAATGTCAGAAGAAAAAGTCTAGATATGAATTAAGAGCGAGCATCAACCTGGAGAAATTTATATTAACTTCACAGAATTGCAATAAAAAAAACTGGTAGTAGAGAAATAATATGGAAAGGAAACCTTTAAAAGAATTTGTACAGGAAGAATTTACAGAATATGCAGAATAGAAAAAGGCCCAAGAGAAAAGAAATGGTTGCATCTTAAATGTCGGTGATATTACCAATACATTTAATAATCAACATGCGCATTTCAGACGCTGTATACGATCTGCCCCAACCAAGGGAATGCTCTACTTAATACCGCAGTGACACAGCCATGATCATCCGCGTGGTGAGCAGGTATCGGAAGTGCTTCCCCTGAGAGCTGCTCAGCATGATCTTCATCTAGCCCAAAAGAATTATTCCATGAAATGAAAACACTGCTAATGAGAGTGTGCTGGACGTGGAAGCCCCGTGGAGGCAGGACGCTGACTCAGAAGATAGACTAGGGATTAGGGAGATAGCTCAGTATAATAAGTGCTTGCCTGGGAAGCACAAGGGCCTGAGTTCAATCCCTGGTAGCACCAAAAAAAAAAAAAAAGATAGAATACATATGGAGCAGTATTTTTTTCTTCAATAAATAAGTATTAATGCATTATTATAGGCTACCACTCAGCAGAAACTGAAGCAACACAAAAATCCAAACCAAAGCACACCACAAAGCACTGACGGATTTAAACTGAACACAGACGAGTGGGTATGATATGGATCCACTGAGTAGGTCTGACACTTTCACATTTTTACAAATTCTTGTTTTGTCTCAGAATATACATATTTTAAGAATAAACAAATGGCCTGACGGAAGGATTGCCAGCAGTACTCACGAAGCACTCCGCCGCATCATCCATGAGGCCAAGCTGGAACCGCTGCTCGTCTTTGAAGCTCTCGGCGAGCGCGTGCCGGATGTTGTCCGAGGGAAGCGCCTTCTCCCGGCTGTGCTGAAACTGAGCAAATATCGTCTGCGAATCAAAAGTACGGCGAACGGTAAGTTTAACGCTAGCAACTTCAAGCATCTCTTGAAGTAGTTTCATTGTAACACAGAGGTTTGAAACATACTTAGAAACCAATATACGACAGACTTCCGCTCTAAAATTCCATACGAAAATCCATCATTTGTGTCAGCGCATGAAGCAGTGATTGTAGTGGCTTCTAGAAGGTGGACATGAACGGTTCCCAGACGCCCCGAGAGGGCTGCGCGACCCTCACGGCCTCTGAGTAGGCCCCAGGTGGCGTCTGCTTCTAAACTGTTCTCCAGATGACTGATAAAGTTGTTGAAGGAATAAAGCTGAAGACTGAAATCATGCTAACCCCAAGTAAACATATAATCACATAAACATGATGGGAATTCATGCGTCTTGCTTGTTTTCTTTTTTTAAGTGGGTCTGAATAACCTTTTAGGGTTGCTTATTTCTTCCCCTGGAAACTTAAGTAAGCTTCAGAAAATGACAAGCTGGTTTAAAAAGCAAAAGTTCAGATAATGTTAACAGAATGACAATTTCTCACTGTGATTATACTAAAGATGCTTTTTAAAAAATATAAATGTACCTTTTAAAAGAAAGTCAGGAGAGCTAATAATTGTTTTTATTTTTTTGAGAACCCCACTCACCCCAGGTGTCTAGTTTCCTCATTTAAGAGACTTTTTTGAACCTAACCCTAAACCACAAAGACATCATTCAGTGCCGTGAGATGGTCGGTGTTTCCCTGAGTTCCATTTCCCTTAATGAACTGAAGCAGAAAAGAAACCTTGAGATGCCCATGATGGTATATATCTAGAATCCCAGTTTTCTCGACAGGCTGAGACAAGGAAGCACAAGTCTGAGGTTAGCCTAGACAACTCAGTGAGCTCCTGTCTCAGGATAAAATAAACACACTGCCAACACAGTTCAGAGATGCAACACTTGCCTAGCATGTGTGGGGCTCTGGGCTCAATTCCTAGCATGAAGACAAACAAAGATTTCTAATAAGTCAGGTCTCCTGGCGGGGAGGTGGTACCAGGAATCAAACTCAGGACCCTGAGCTTGCCGGGTAGACAGATGCATGTGCCACTGTGTCTCATCCCCTACCCAGCAAATAAGTTAGTTTTATGACAATCATGGGAAAGAGAATAGGAGAAAAAATGGGCAGATTTTCAACAACAACATACCCCATACAAATTGCTCATGTTCTTTATCTCAGAACGTTCTCTCTCTCGAGGAAAGAAAAAAATTCTTTAAGGCCAACATACTGTATGCTAGGAAACTATTTCAAGAATCTTTTCCTCTACTATATAAAAATTTTAGTTTATAAGTAAAATTATAAATGAAGGACCATTTTGTATCTGAATATACAAAATAGGATAGATATACAGCTACTTTCTCTTAATTCAGTGAGAAGATTTATACTAATAGTGTATGGACAGGATATCATGTCTGCATCTTTTACTATGAGTAACCACTTCAAAGACAATATGCAATGTATTAATTATTGAAACTGTCCTATTAGCCAGTTTTGAAACTGTCTCATTGCTGTTTGTTTCTCAATAAAATTAACTGAAGAAAATAAAAAATAAAATGCCAGGTAGGAGCAGTGGTGCACACCTGAAAAGTTGGGTCAGGAGGGTAACTGTGAGCTCAAGTTCAAGTTTCAGACACACACACAACAACAACAACAACACACAAAACCTACATGCAACTTTAAAAAATGCAAATAGGAGTTGGGGAGATAGCTCAGCAGCATAAGCACCTGCCTAGCAAGCATAAGGTCCTCAGTTCAATCCCTGGTATTTAAAAAAAAAAAAAAAAAAAAAAAAAAAAAAAAAAGCTGGATATGAATGATAGGAATTTACTAGTCTTTTTTTAAAATTCAGGAACTAAAATTATTTTAGCCATTATAACAGTTGAAATGAAAAGATGAAAACAGAGACTTCTGTTACTAACTTATCTGGGCAATGTTTAAAATACTGAGCCTACACAAAGCTGTTACTCATTCAGCACCTATTCCTCTCCTGCCTCGTGTATGTCAGGCCTTGTTCCACACCAGAAAAGTGCCCTTGCCCTGTGGTACAATAGTGCAAAGGCAAGTAAGTCATTCTATAATGTGTCAGAAGGTGATACGAGAAAGACAACCCAATATGAGAGCGAAAGAGGAGGGAGGGAGAGAGAAGAGAGGAGGGAGGAAAGGAGAGAGTGGGAGAGAAAAGATGAGAGAGGGAGGAGAGAAAGTGAGGGAAGAGGGGGAGAAAGGAGGGAGGAGAGAGGAAGGAGGAAGGAGAGAGGAAGGAAAAGGGAGGAGAGAGGAGGGAAGAGAGAGGAGGCAGGAAGGAGGAGAGAACAGAGATGAGAGGAGGGAGGAGAGAGGAAGAGAGGGAAGGAGAGGAGGGAAAATGGAAAAGGGGAGAGGAGGGAGAGAGGAGAGATGATGGAGGAGTGAAGAGAGATGAGGGAGGTGGGAGGAGGGAGGAGAGAGGAGTGAGGAGAGAGGTAGGAGGGACATGAGAAGAGGGAGGAGAAGAGAGGAGAGGGGAGGGGAGGGGAGAGAAAAGGGGAGGAGAGAGGGGTGAGGGACAAGGGGGGAAGAGGGAGGCAGGAGGAGTAAGGAGGAGAGAGGGGATAGGACAGAGGACAGAGGGGAGGGGAGGGCAGAGAACGAGAACTACAGTGCGTTATGAATGCTAGGGAAGCAGAGGGAGATACAGCTCACCTTTGCATAGTCAGGAAAGGGCTCAGTGACACAAAAAAAATTGAGAAGAGGCACAAAGGAAGCAAAGTGTTGTAGCTCAGAGGACACTGGGAAGAAAAGTACTTCAGACAAAAACAGTAGCAGTGAAAAGGCATGGAACGCAGGAGGTGCCTGGGGTGCACAGGCCGGGGGGGGGGGGGTGATGGAGGCTTTGGCAAGGTCAGGCCAAGGCTAAGGAGCTGAGCCACAGTGGTTTGCACAACTGGACAAACCACTCAGAATTTACCATGACGTAAATAAAATGTGATCCTGTCAGTTGACCTAGGTTCATTCTTCACCTTCTGACAATAACACCATTCTACCATGTTCTGAAAAAGAACTTCTAAATTTTCCACTTTCAGTAATCCATTGAAAGATTTTTCAGGAACAAAAAGAAAATAAGGCATGTGAATGTTAAAAAAGCTTTCCTGTGTACAAATGAGTATGTTCATTAACAATATTCAAGAATATAGAAGAATAAAAAGACATAGCACATCTTTTTTTTTTTTTTGTTCGGAACCAGGGATTGAACTCAGCCCTCTGCACTTGCCAGGGAAGCCCTTATTCCACTGAGCCATCTCTCCAGTCCCACATCTTCTAAATGTACTAATCAAATCTTAATTTCTCAGGCAAAAGATTTTAAATAGCACATCTTTTAATATGCCAAGCAAATCTTAATTTCTCAGGCCAAAGTTTTTGATGACAAACATGAGCCATGAAAACATACTGCACTCGCTGTTTCTGCCCTTGTCTCCCTCAGCTCAGCAGACAGACAGGACTCACTCAAACAGATTACACCGCCCTCCAATGGAAATGAATCTTAGAACTTCCTAAATTATTCTGAGAAAAAGCCAAGATTGTTACAAAGGCCTATAAAGCCATAGACAATCGGAACTCCTAATTATTCATTGCCTTGTAATGAACTACTCCAAAACTTAGGGACTAAAAAATACTCATGCCTTGACTGTGAACCTGCAGTCTGGACAGAACAGTTCATATGGGACCTGGTGGAGCAGCTGGTGCTAAATGCCGGCAGGAGCTGTGACCACAGGGCCCAAGTGACCCACCCACAGGGCCCACGTGCCTCTCCACAGGGCCTGTGGCTTCCTCACAGCCTGGGGCTCCCTTCCCAGACTGAGCAACTGCCAGGGCCAGAGCGGGCAGGGAGCTCTCCTACCTGTTCACATCCAATCTGACTTTAGAAGTCTCGCAGAATCAGTTCTGCCACCCTCTACGGATAAGCTTCAGTCACTGAGGCCCGTGTTCGAAAGTAGCCCATGTTCAAGAAACTACTTTACACAGGAAAAACACGTTTTCAAGCCACGGCAACTCCCACCATTCTTGTGTCATCTTACACAGCTGCCAGCACGCTGCTTCTTCGCCACTGCTCGCGAGGTCACGGCCACTCCACGTCGGAGGCTCTGCAGCCGCTGCGGTCTGCCTGGAAGCTCCCTGACCACAGCCGCCTTCTGCCCACTCCACCACCTCTTCCAAGTCTGCAGTCCTGGATCACTTTCCCTGTAAGGCATTTCTGGCCACTCAACATACCCTGGTCTCTAGCTGACATGCTTTTTCTGCTGTCCTGTGTACTCCCAGTGGTGTTCCCTTCTTGTCTTCCCCTACCAGAACTCGGCAGAGATTTGTATTTGTTTTGTTCACTGCAGTACCCTCAGCACCACCAGCAGTATCCAGAGCTCTGAAGCATTTGCGAAATGAATATTTCAAGATAATAAAAAGTGCAATGTCCCTAACAGTTTTATACCTACTCTGACAAAAAAGTAGAAAATGAAAATAAAAACCTGAATAAGTCACACTTTAAGAGTTTATCAACAAAGTTATAAATCACTTGACAATGGGCTTTAACTACAAATAAATCAACCTAATACATCAGGTATGAAGATTACATTTTTGAAGAAACAATAATTCTTGACAGCTATGGAAATTTTACCTTCAATGCACAAAATATGCAGGCTTCTCCCTGACAAACATGTCCAGTCAGAACCCTCAGGCTTCGTCGGAATATATCCAATTGCCATAATACCTAAATTAAAGGTAAAAGAGAGGTAGTGAGATTTCTCTGTGTTAAGATGTTTAGGTGTTTTAAAAATTGCAAAAGGCTAGTAAGTTTTCAATCTCCTGTACATAATCAGATACACACAAGCATTAGAAAAAGAAACAAGTATAAAGCTACAATACACAGGCTGTGCATATACAAAAGATGGGTTGGGTGGTACTCCTACTGACTCACAGGAAAAGCCGTCAGAGGCACAGAGCAAGGAAAAGTGAATTTCTCAGTCAAGGATCTGATATGAAGACACAATATGGAAAATTAAATAAAGGACTTAGGAGAGACACAAAGGAGGAAGTCATTAGAGCAGCTGGACAAACTGAAATCTACGGAGGAAATACAATTAGACTTTAACGGCAGGGTGTACTAAATAAAGGTCGGCATGTTATGGCCAGAAAAAAGGGTGACCATGTGCGCGTGGTCCCCAGATACTGCAGGACAGAGTGGGGATCTGTGCAGGCATGGAGGCCCAGCGTGGGAAGGGGCAGTAGTAGGAATAATCTGAAAATGTGCTGCAATTATCTTTCATCAGCTACTACTAAAAGATAAGGAAAATAAAAACAAAACAAAGCACCCCATAACTATTAAAATCTATCAGTCCAATACCTAGAAGTCATCCTGGAAAACATGAATTCTATATGATGTAATAATAGTAGTCCTACCCAATATAATTCTTATATAGATTAAATAATACGTGTATAAAACATTTAGAGCAGGGCCTGCATGTAACTGACAAACAGTGAATATCTGCTATTGCAACAAACAAGTGTTTCCCTGTATCTTTTAGTCATTATATAAATTAAGAATTTCATCAAAGGCGTGGAGACCGCTCAGTGGTCTAAGCACCTGCCTGGCAAGCTCAAGGACCCCGATATGATCCTCAGCACCACATGCTATGCCAGCTATGGAACCTGGGTGCACTGTGCCAGCCCCAAAACCGGGCATGATGGTGCATGCCTATAAACCCAGCAGTAGGGAGGCTGAGGCAGAAGGATCACTATGAATCTGAGCTGCATAGTGAGACCCTGTATCCAATAAATAAATACATAAATAAAAAATTGTTTTAAAAATTTATTGATGAGTTATTTCTCCCAACTAAAAATGAGATTTTAGAAAAAGATGATTTTCAGGTTTTCTATATTCTCAACTTATCAATAATCAAAGGGCATTTCAGAATTTCTCTTTAAGAACTGATTTCTCTTCAAACATAATAGAATCTATGTATCATAAATAACTGCCTTGCAAAGCCTTCAGGAATGTTTAGAAACTGTGATGTATATTATCTCCTATCATACCCTAAAAAGTATCACTCTGCACCCCATTTTTCCAGCAAAGTCAAAGCTGAATGACAGCAGGACCACTCGCTTCAGAGGTAGGCTGCCTGGTCTAGTCTGGCTTTAGTCTTCACTCACTTGGCCAGAAGAGGCCCAGCAATGCTGAGACTACGTTCCTAATGAAGTGAAGTAGACGTCACACCTACCACATACAGTTGTTTGACAGTTCAACTAAATATGATGTACAACGTTCACACAGTCCAGTGTGCATAACTTCGTTCTAGTCCTGAGAACTCAATGCTGTATTAGTATGTCAAACCTACTTAACCGTATTGTTTTGCAGATACAAATTCAAAACATTCAGCTAGAAGGCCATCTTTTATAATCTGTTTATGAAATTAGAGAAGCCTTTCAAATATAACTAAAACACAATATAAAAACCATTGTTACTCTCCTATCATATTCTCTTGGAATTTTGTTTATGGAGTTTTTATTTTTGCTTTCCTTTAGAATAATTAAGGGCTGGGGTTATAACTCAGCAGCATAGCACCTGCCTGGTAAGCTTAAGGTCCTGAGTTCAATTTCTGATACTTTTACCAAAATAATAATAATAATTTAAAAAATAAGTATAACCGTAACATTTTCTGGGAGTAGTAAATTTTTGAAGTTACACTAGAGTAAACCACAGAAAAAAATATTTTATGTGAACGAAATACTGTATGTTATTCATCACAGTAATATAAAACTTAAATAGCAAACCTCTACTGCAAAATAATTAATTTTAATTACAGTTAATCCTTATCCTACTTCATTTTGAAGTGTTTATTACATTATACCACTTATTTCAAACATTGTTTTAAACACTAGCTGTTGGGTAAGTTTATGAGTTTATGCATATTGGTTAGATTATGCATACTGCAAATCAACACATTTGTGAACGGATATTTAATAGACACTGATCTCTCACTGTATTCCTCACTCTAAAATAATATAACTTAAAAAGTAAATAATCAAAAAAGGCACATAAATTCTTTTTTTGATTTATTTTAGATCCATATTATTTTAATAAGGTCTGCTTTTACTAATTTCATGTAGGATGTATCCCACTACATATTTCTTAGCAGTTACTTAAAATCAAGAAATTGAATATTAACATTTGTTTAGTGAATTTTAAAGTACAAAATCAAGCTTTTCTAACATAAGATCTATTTGAATTGTTCTGCCTCTGGGGGTTGGCTCTGCAAATCAGTTGAAATGGATGCCCTAACAGGTCGGAAGGTGATCCTCAAGTTTATTCTGCGGAAGTGCTGCAGACAACCCAACGGATCTGCACGAGGCTCCCTCTGAATACTGCAGCAAGCAGTATGAGAGAACCGCTGAAGGGCAGGGAAAGAAATGTCTAAAAGGATTAGAGGAAATACTGCCCCAAAGCTCACACTGCCCTACTTCTAGCAGCCAAAGTGGAAAAAATTTTAATTCAAAGCAGTAGTTAAACAGTCTCAAGAGAAGAGAAATTATCCATAGAATACAACTTGTCCTGCTTAATAAAATTTAAGAATAAAATGATCAAACTGTTTCCAAATAAATTAACCTTGTTTTAAAACAAAGTTCAAGATTGTTTGTAGGACTATAAAAACCTCTCTAAGGGAATAAGGTAAAATTTCCTTGTTATTACCATGTAATTAAAAAATTACCAGGCATTAAAGAAAAAAAATACTGCAACTTTATTTCATACAAGTAAGAGGCTAGTGGTAAAACTGAGTAGAAGCGTGAATGCTAAGAAGTCTCACATCAGAACTCTAAAGATGAAAGCTACAGTATCTGGAGATGGAGAACACAATGACTGGGACTGCATGTTGCAAATAAAAAAAATTAGTGAGTTGAAGGCAGAAACAGAAGCCACAGAAAACGAAACAGAACAAAAGCCTAAAAGAAAAGGAAGAGAGCATTAGTGAGATACACAGTTGTCAAACAGAAAACTATCTATGAAACTGGAGTCTTCCAAAGATGTGGAGAGACAAATTGCTTGGAGAAATAACAGTTAAAAGAGTTTTCAAATTTGATTAAAATTCTAACTTTGCAGAACCAGTATGCTCAACAAACCCAAACAAAAGAGACATGAAGAAAAACTATGTCAAGACACAGCATAGTTAAATTACTTTAAAACAAATGTTACTTCAGAGGGCTGGCGAGATAGCTCAGCAGACTAAGCACCTGCTTAGGCAAGCACAGGGATCAAGGTTCGATCCCCGGCCCCACATGCCCTGCCAGCCCCGTCCCCAGGCACTCTGAGCTGGCTACTGAGATAGGTTGTGGTAGCGCACGCCTGTAATCCCAGCACTGAGGAGGCTGAAAACAGGAGGATCACTACGAGTCCAAGCTGCGTAGTGACACCCTATACCAAATACATTAAAAAAAAAAATCTTAAAAGCAGACACAGAAAAACAATTATACTATACACAGAATGACACACGAAGACTATAAGGGTAGATTTTTCTTTGAAATAATGTAAGCTTAAACAGGCAAAATGCAACCATTGTTGAATTCCTATTACTTTGGTGAAATTTTATATCATTTCTATTGCTTTTTTAAATTACTATTTTGTATTCTTTAAACAATAAAAAAATAGAAATTAAAAATGGAAAGAGACAAATGTCAATTTAGTCCCTTTGAATGAAGATACCTTTCAAAAACAAAAGTGAAATGCAGATTTTTTTTTCTGACACAAAAAGTTGAAAGAATTCATCACCAACAGGCCAGTTAGAAAGAGAAGAAAAGGATGCAAGGTAGAAAGGGAGATCTGTAAACAACGGCAACTGGCATATACGGACTGTACAGAAAAGCGCAGCCTCCAGAGGAGAGCTGGACGCAGTGTTCATTTAAATTTGTAAAAAAAAAAAAAAAACAAAAACCCACCATCATAAAAATTCTTACTTTCTCTACTATGCAAGTTTCCTTACTCAGAATTTGCTCTTGTTACAATATGCCTTTTCTCTTCCTGGGTTATGACAGTATTTTGAAAGCTAAAGAAAAGGATAGAGAGAGGGGAAATGTAAAAGTGAGAAAGACTAAGGAAAGATCTGATATGACGAAGCCCTTTCTTAGTAGCCTGATTCAATCAAAGGTATTTAATTTCAAGTCTTATGATACTTTATTTTCTTAGATCCAGTGACATTAACATATTCTTTTTCAAAACACTTAATACCAGTGCAATCTTTGAGATACTGACTGCTTATGTCTCCAAAGTAAATTAGAATCAACGCTTTCTTTATACAATGGGTGCCTTGGTTAACTAATTTAATTTGTTCTACAGTTTTGGAGAAGACAGCCACACTGTGCCTACACAGAAAAGATGGCCATGTGTGTTTCCATTACCAAATGTAGAATCTGCAAAAAACCCCTCAAAATTTGACCAAATGCTTCTGTTTGTGAGCCAAGCAGAAAGCATTCATGAACACAGGCATCACTGTTCCGATCGCTCTTCTTGCCCTGGGAGAGTTAAAGAACTTTCAGGCATGACCTAAGGCCCAAGAAGAGACCGACCAGGACATCTGAGTGCTTCACGTATTCTAGATGTATTTATTTACCAAATACACTGAGCAATATTTCTGTCTCCTCTCATTTTTATGAGAAGAAAAATTCTGGAACTGCCAGATAATGACCATATTGCACAGAAGCAAAGCTATTTATCTAAGGCAGAAAAAAAAGGTTAAAAATACATTTGTTGAGGCCCAGGATATAGCTCAGCATTATAAGTACCCGCCTGGCAAGTGCAAGGTCCTGAGTTCAATCCCCAGTACTGGGGGGGAAAATGTTAACTAAAAGAATCTTAGCAAACTTAGAAGCAAATGGAAGCAAATGAATTAATCTTCAATTTAATCATAATAAGGGGCTCTAATGATAATCACAGAGGTGACTAGAGGGCCACAATGAGAAAAAGAGTCTGAGCACTGCAATTAATAAAAAATAAAAATTATTAAACTGGATTCTTATTTCAAACAAAGAGGTTTGCATCTTATTGTTCTATCTACTGAGAACTATACCAGCGTTTTGATTTATACATTTTTTTGTTTTTCTAAAGGAGAAGGGATTGTTATCAAATAAAAAGTTTCCATATTTTAGAAACACTCTTAATTTACTACGTAAGTAAAAAGGTTCTCACAGTAATACACCATCCTGTCAATGAAAACACCATTTTCATTTACTATAAAAATTAAAATGCCCAGTAAATAAGTTTTGTTCCCATTAAAAGTGGTATTAAAAGTTATTTCAGTTAATAACCTTGTTCATAATTTAGTAGTTTAAGAAGCATTAAATATTTCCTGAAAAGTACTGTTTTAAAAATATAAGGAGTAATTATGGTCTCACCTGTACAGCACTATTAAGAAAGCAGCTGTTTTGTCCTGGTTCATTTAACAAGCCTTTGGTAGGGGCTAGTGACAGCATACTTCCAGGTTGGTAAGCTTTTCCCAGATTGCCACCAGGTTTCCGTAAGAATTTCACCCAGGCCATGTTCAAGCAATTTCGTTTGCATTAAAGCTAAAACTGCACCTTTATGTTATATTTCTGATGACAAAACAGATAATGTCCTGAATTTGCCAGTTAAATTCACAATAGTCTGTTATAAGAATGTAAGTTTCCAAGTCCATATCTTTCTTAGTACTATAAATTTTTGAGACTTCAACAAATAAAAATGGGCTAAATAAATGTTGAAGGTTTGAAAGCTTCAGAGCTTAAACAAGGCCTTAAAGATTTTTCTCTTTTTATCACAGGACAGTTCCACAAATTAAGATGAAAAAACTGTTTTAAACTGAAAAAAGTAGTATCGATGAACAAATTTTCTTTTATGTACAAGTCAATTGTCTTGCCCAGTTAAATATTAAAAATGGATGATATAAAAAAAAAATGCAGACTTGGTATCTGGTGTGATTCCTCTGGTCATTTGCTTTCTTTATGCTTTTTTAATAAAAAAGAACTCTTTCCTTCTCAGGTGAGGTTATCAAAGGTGATTCCATATGTCATAGCAATGTGACCTCAAAGCAAATCTATAAGAAAAGAAAAGAAAACGTTTATAATATACCTAGTCAGGAAAATTTCTACTTTACAATTGAACACAAACACTGACTACAGAACTAAAATTTATCATAAAAAATAAAAGATTAAAAAAATCAAAAGGATTAGAATAGATATTATTCTAAGATATCAAAATGAAAACATTTCATCACTTAATTTTTTTTTTAATGTAACATGACTTTAATCACTTTCTATCCCAAATTTTAGCATCCAAAGAATGGGTTCATAAGAAAAATATTCCACACACACACACACACACCAAAAAAAAAAAAAAAAACACCAATTCAATTAGCTCTCAGGTTGTATCCCATATCTGTCAATACAAATTGCTTTATTAAACAAATATGAATATATGTACATATAGTATACACCCTGCTATCTACCTTATACAAATCATATATTTCAAAAAAAATCAGTAGATTTTATGAAAATTAACATGCATAACTCCAAAGAAACCTTTGATAAACAGATGTTAGTAAATTAAAGTAAATTTTCATCTTTTCAAAAATGTATGCTTCTGGCTTAATGGACTTCAAATGTTAAATTTCCGAATTAAAAATAATTAAATAATAGGGTTAGCAAGATAGCTCAGCAAAGTAAGCACCTGCTTAGGCAAGCGCAGGAATTGGGGTTCAATCCCCAGCACCACATGTCAGGCCAGCGCCACCCCCAGGCACACTAAGTTAGCCACTGAGACCAGGCATGGGGGTGCATGTCTGTAATCCCAGCACTGTGGAGGCTGACAGGAGGATCACTATGAGTCCAAGCTGCATAGTGAGACCCTGTACCAAATACATTTTAAGCAATTATCAAATATTACTATCAAAGTTTTATTTTACCAAATGAATTTCATTCCTCCATTCTTCCATTCAATAAACACTGACTGAACATCTGTTTACTCTACCTACCAGGCGCTGGAACTGACACAATGAGGAAAATCAGACAGCACAATAGCACACTCCACTGTTTTTTGTTTTTTGGTTTTTTTTGCAGTACCAGGGATTGAACTGAGAACCTTGCACTTGCCAGGCAAGCACCTATTCTACTGAGCCATCTCCCCTGCCCACTACACTGTAGAGAGTACCAGGAGGGCTGCATGTGAAGTGCTAACAGAAACACAAGGTAAGGAAGCCGCGAGGGAAGCACAGACACTGTTCTTCCCCTTTCAGTAGCACAGCCAGGGAAGCCCTCGCTGAGAAGGCTGAGCAGGCACCAAGACCTGAAAGAGGCACAGAAACCAAGTGAGGGAAGAACTCCAGGCAGACTGAACAGTAGCTCCAAACATCCTGAAACTGGCATATGGATGACACCATGGAGGAAAAGGAAGAAGCCTAGTGTGGCAAGGAAACTTCAATACGGAGTCAGGTAGGTGAAATGGAAGCGCGAGAAAGAGGCAGATGACACGGGGGCTTGCAGGTCCTTTGGCTTTAAACTCTGGCTCGAAAGTTACTGAGAAACCTTTTCACAGCACAGAAAGACAAGACAGAACAGCACAGGTCACTTCAGTATCACTGATCAAATATAAGACAGCAAACCACTAAAGAACAGAGAAGGATCAGTATCTAAGAAATTAAGGTCTGTTTCTAGGCCTACTCTCTGATGAGAACTTCCTTACCTTCAAGATGGGGGTAACAATAACAACTGTGTTAATGAGGGTTAACCATTCTCAGAATTATAGAACACAGTTCGTTATTTTCTTCTATTTTAGTCACCAGTTCATAATCCCCTCTCGGAGTGATCTCCATGATCTTGAAATCTGTCACACACAGTTTTTAATAAATTTAGTCATGTCGCACAACATTAAGTGAACTCTATATAAGCAAAAGATTCCTATTTTTAATGGAATCATACTTTTAAGGTGATACACTTTCAGTAGCTATTAGGCACCAACTCTATACTCTGAGCCATATTAAAGTTTTACAAAACAATTACTAGCATTAAAAGAACTGAGTTTGGTGAGTGTCACAGACACAAGAGATAACTGAACAACATCATGGTTCACATTCCTTCACAAGATGTCAAACTAATACATGTTCCCTCCTGATTGCCTCTCCAACCCAGCCCTGAGGATTATGCAAAGGAAGACTAGTGATGAAAAACCAGGAGAAATGTTGGGGATACCAAGTGATAGGCTTCTACGAGGGGAGAGAAAACACAGCCAGGAGATGGGGAGAACGCAATGTCTGCCTGGGAAACTCTAGCTGGGAACTTTTTATGCTCTCCGTGCTCTGGCCAGCGAATTTCCACCTCACACAATGAAATGAGACAGAAAAGGAGTGCTCTCCCCACCCCCACCCCCACCCCTGCCATCTGGAGCTTGTTTCAGCAAGAAAACACTAGAGTGCAACTAGGTTCAGAAGTGTTGAAACAACAGGTGATCTGTAGGCCCCATTATGTACTGACCTCCCCAACTCTACGTAGGGACTGACCTGGAAAACACAGGCAGTGCCACAGGAAGTTCCAAACTGCATCACCCAGAATCAAGCCCTTGTATCCCACTTCTACTCCCTGAAATCAGACACAAACAGACAAGGACCGCCTCATCCTCATCCTAGGTAAATATTCTTAGTTTAGAATTTGGTACCTCTGAAGAAAATATAAGCAGGAGAGTATAAGCTCTCTGACAGGAAGGAAACAAACTAAACAATCTAAGTCACAGGAAACAGAATAAAGAACACAAATATAAAATAAACATAAAAACCTGTTGTAATGGTTAACTGTGTCAATTTGAGTTTACAAGTGTGACTAGATAGCTCAGCAACTTTATTCCTTAGGGTGTAGTGGACCCACCCCAGAGCAGCTCGTAGCCTGGATGGTATAAAGGGGAAATGAGGAAGAACAGACTGGCCTGTGTCCTTCAGAGGAGCTTCAGCCTCCACCTCCCGCCTGGACGTCATCTCCTGGCTCTTGGCCGAGGCTCTTCAGCTTGCACCTTACATCCTTCAGCCTTCTATCACAGAGCCAGGCCTCTTAATACATATTTGATAGGACCCTGCAGTGCACACCAGACTATGGCCTGAAGCCTTCAGTTATCAGTGTGCAGACAGCCTATGTACCCTTCCTCATCCAACTCAGTGTTGACCATCATAAACTGATCTTAAAATAATTTCTTATAAATTTGTACATCTTGTGTTATATCTGTTTCTCTAATAAAACACTGACTGACACAGATTTTAGAAGTGATACAGGGGCTAGCCAGATAGCTCAGTGGACTAAAGTACCTGACTAGACAGACACAGGGACCAGAGTTCAATCCCTGGCACCACATGCCATGCTGGCCCCACTCCCTGGGGTGTGCTGAGGCAACTGAGACTGGGCTGGTGGTGCGCGACTGTAATCCCAGCATTTGGGGGACTGAAAACAGGAGGATCACTATGAGTCCTATTTGTGTAGTGAGACCCTGTACTAAAATACATAAATAAATAAAAGTGATACAGATACCAGGAGTGGCTCTAGAGAAATGGAATCACAATGATGAAGTCTTTTAATGGCTTTAGGGACTCCAAACAAAAGTCATCTCTTAAGTTGATGAGACCTAAAGACACCATGGTCTCTCCTGCAAATTCTGTAGGAAATACTGAGAACGTTTGGCATGAACTGTTTAAACTAATATGCCATGTAGATTCACTTGATTATCCTAATTCATCACTTGTGAGATGTCAGGAATTTAGCAACTTCATACATGAAGGTTTTAAATTATCTTCGAACATATGATGCTGGCTGGTTGGTCTCACTATCCCTGAACAAACTAGGTGTTATGGTCTGTGTCTAGTTGTACCCCCAAATCCTCATGCAGTCACAGGTGGCTTCTGGAGTTTGTGAAAGATTATTGTGGGCATGGATGCTGCACCTGCTTGAGGCAGGTAATTTGCATTACAATGTAAGGAGGGGAGTGAGGCTAGCTAGGTGCCTGAGCTGCAACTACCTCTCCCTTGCTCGCAGCTCTTTGCCCCCGCCATGAAAGGCTGCCCTCTGCCATGTGCCACTCTGCCTTGGAGCCAGATGAGTACGGACTGAAACCTCCAGTAACTGTGTGCTAAATAAACCTTTCCTTCCTTCATTTTGGGTGTCACGTATTTGTCCCAGCAACGAGAGAAGAGAAACTGAGACACTGGTGAAAGAAAACAATGAGCCAAAAACATCCATAGGAAGGAAGTCCATAGACATCTGGCTCTAAGGACAACATAGTAAAGAAAAACAAGGAGCTCAAACATTCACAATCCCAGATCCAGACACAGAAAAAACTTAGAAGTTTTAAGTGTGTCCTGAAAGAAAACCTCTCTTTTAGCCACAAGGCTGAGACTGCAGAGACACAAACAGAGGCCCTCATAATCTGACTGGCCGAACTATGACGTAAGCTTAATGCGCTGACTTGAAGAGGATCTGAAGCAAAAGTAAGGGTTCTGATCAGAAAAGAATGGGACCCCATAAACGGCTGGAGATGTGTGGGAGGATCCTAAGGAAGTTGAGGACATGGAATTTCTAGATGCTAATGGGATTATTTTGCCAGAGGAAGAGATTCCCCATCCCACCCCCAAACCCAGCAGTGTTGGTCTCTCCTATAATACCCAGGGGAACTAATCCTGGGTTAACCAAGCAACATAACACTGACGCTCCTCAGGACTGGCCCTCACCACCCACCTTTGCCTCTAGGCTCTTAACCAAGCTCCAATCGCACAAGATGCCTAAGGTTGAGGTGCATAGTGTGACCCGTGAGGAAGTCTGCTAGTCTCCCAGAGAATTTGAGTTTTCTAACCCTAATAAGCAGACACATTATGAGCAAGCATGAGAAAGGATTTTACAGGTTTGGGATAAAGATGACAAAAAACAGACAACTGGATCAGGCTGAGTTCATTGATATGGGCCCACTAAGCAGGGATTCTGAATTCAATGTTGCAGCTTGTGTAGCAAAGAAAGGTGTTAACAACTTATTTGGATAGTTGGCAGAAATATGGCTCAAAAGATGGCCCACTGTGAATGAGTCAGAGATGCCTGGTATTCCATGGTTTACTGTGGATGGGGGGATTCAGAGGCTTAGGGAAGTGGGAATGCTCAGCTGGATCTGTCATGATAAACCTAATCCTCCACACTGGGATGATCCAGAAAATGAACGCTTCACTAACACCTTCAGCAAATGGTCTGTGAGGAGAGCACCAGCATCCCTGAAGAGCTCTGTCACTGCCTTTCTCTACATGCCAGTCCTTATGGTGGGGACCACATTACTCATTTAGGAAATTCAAGGACAATGGGCTTGACTGGATCCTGCAGTGTCTCAGAGGTCAAGTGGCAGCACTCAATCGCCAAAGGCAGGGTACCTGTACTTGCCGTAATGGACAGCAGAAGCAGAACAATGGCTAGAATGGTCTGACATATGAACCTACGGTGTTTAATGAGCAGCCACAGTGTTGCCAAAAGTGAAATTGATGGGAAGCACACAAAAGTTTTACTAGATTTACATCATCAAAATATTTATGGGCAAATGAACGGGAACCTCCTTCAAATTGTGTTAACAGGAAATCAGCCTTTCAAGCAGTTCTCGGATTTGAGTCAGTTTAAAGATTCAGAATGCTTTGAATGAAGGGGAGGCTGAGTTCCCTCGGGGAAGGATCCTGATGTGCCAAAACTTTATATAGCCAACCTTTTTCTCATCCTTCCCCAGAGGGTCCTAAAGCCTTTTGCCCATGTGACTGTACACTGGGAAAGGGGCATGATCAGACATTTAGGAGACTACTGGACACTGGCTCTAAACTAACATTGATTCCAGAGAATCCAAAAACATCACTGTGTCCGCCAGTAAGAGTAGTGGCCTGTAGAATTCAGCCAATCAATGGAGGTTTAGCAAAGGTCCAACTCACAGTGGATCCAGTATGCCCTCCTATCCATCCCACAGTCATGTCCCCTGCTCCCCAATGCATAATTGGGATAGATGCACTCAGTACTTGGCAGATTCCTCACACTGGTTCCCTAATCTGCAATGTGAGGGCTAATAGGGTCAGAAAGGCCAAATGGAAGCCATTAGAGTTGCCTTTGCCTGGAAAATAGTAAACCAAAAGCAGCATCAGATACTGCTGAAGGGTTGAAGAGGTTAGTTGACACCATTTAGAATTTGAAGGATACAGGAACATTGGTGCTCACCATATCTCCATTTAACTCTCCCATCTGGCCTGTGCAGAAGAGAAGGGTCTAGGAGCATGGCAGTACATTACTGCAAAATGAATCAAATCACCAGTGACTCCCATTGCAGCTGTGACACCAGATGTCATTTCCATGATTGAGCAGATTAACACATCTCCTGGTACTTAGTGTGCAGCTACTGACTTGGCAAGTGCTTTCCTCCTCATACCTATACATGCAGACCATCAGAAATGATCTACTTCCAGCTGGCAAGGCCAGCAATACATCTTCACTGTCTTACCTCAGGGGCATATTAACTTGCCAGGCCTGTGTCACAACTTAAGTTTGGCTGGATCTTAATCACTTTTTTCTCCCACATGATATCACACTGGCCCATTACACTGATGATATTACATTGATTGGGCCAAGTAAGCAAGAGTCAGCAACCACTCTGGATTTGTTAGTAAAGCACTAGAGAGTCAGAGAATGGGAAATAAATTGGAAGAAAAGTTCAAGAGCCTTCTATCTCACTAAAATTTCTAAGCGTCCACTGGTGTGGGTCATGTAGAGATATTCCTTCTGAGGGAAGACAGGTTCTTGCTGGCACCATTTAAGAATTTTGGCAGACTCTGGGCAGCTTGTGGGACTCTGGAAAGCTCTGAACTTCCTTAGTCCCCATTGTGCAGATGTGGAGCTTCTGCTGGTGCCGGTCCAAAATTTTAACTTAGGAGGATGCTGAGTGGCCTGAGGGACACAGGAGAGCTGTGATCTGTGGGCTCAGCATGAGCATGTGTGGAGCATTCCTAGGACCTTTTAAGAACTTTGCCAGACTCTATGTGGCCCACAGGACTCTCTGGGTGATTACTGGGAGCTTCAAAAATGCAGGAGCAAAAGGCAATCTCAATTCTCCAACCCACCCAGAACAAATTCTGTAGAAGAAGATATGGAAAAACTTGGAAATCACACACCTGAAATCTCTGAAATAATAGCAACTGAATTAAGGAAACAAGTCCATCATGTTATAGAAGAAATAAGATCAGAAATAAACCCTCAGGTCCAAAACCAAAGGACAACAATCATGAAAGAATTGCTCAGCACAGCTAAAGAAGACATAGGAAAATAGAGGAGACTAGAAAAATTATGGAAACACTGAATGAACAATACAAGAAAGAACTAGAATGCATGAAACAGATTCAAACAGATATCTAAGAAATTAAGAACTCCACTGAAAGCTGGAAAAACTGCCTAAATTAAACTGAAGACAGACTTTCAGACCTGAAAGACAGTGGTGTAGCCAATGAACATGAAATAAAGAAAAAGATCACTTAAAACTAACAAGGAACCAGGAAATAACAATTCAGCAGCTACAAGATGATGCAAAGAAAAATATAAAA